AATTTTAAAGCCTTGAAAAATAGTGTAGATCGAGTAGATCTATGAAAACGTGAAAATCTAAAAAATTGACGGTCAAAAAGTACGTTACAAGGTGCTCTATTTCCAAAACTTAAAATTCATTTTTTTCTCATGTCCATACATCTGTATATCAAGATGATCAATTTAAAGATATTTGGGTATCAAAACAACATTTTATAGTGAAAATTTTGAGATGTGCTCTAACTTGATTGTTTAGAACCTCAACTCAATATAACCTTTTTCCATTTATTATATATATCTAAATATTTTTAAAAAGAAAAATATTTTGATTTTTGGATCACAGGTCACCCATTATATTTTTGAGTCCAGATCTTGGTCCGATTAGGTGCAAGTCGGGGTCTAGCTCAACCCAACCCGTTGCCACCCCTCGGAGTGCTAAGCTCGTAAGGCCTGTCATCTTTTGCCCGTGTGGGTCCCTCAAGGTATGCGCGTGGCTTTGACTCACGTAAAAGCAAACCGGATAAAAAAAAGGCCAACAATATTATTATTACTCGGGGAAAGTGATCCACCGATCGAAACTGATTCAAACCAAATCCAGAAGCCCTCTTTTTTTCCAATTTAATATACACATGCAAACGATACGTACATGTTTACTTCCACCACTCATTTTACGCTTTATTTTCTTTTCCCATTCGTTCACGCAATGCCCCTCACTAAATGCGCCCCCAAATTAGAACATGGATAGCCGTCCTCTCCTTCTAAAGTCATCATCTAATAAGATAAATGAGCACCAATACCCCATTATTATCATAATTTTGTTTTTTGTTTTTTGAGGTAACCCTAATTGCCCAATTATCTGAGGAAAAAGTTTATGTTTATGTAAGGGCAAGGTCCTAAATTATCAAATTAAGGCACACCTCAAATATTCATTAGAAGAAGTAATCATGGAAAACCTTGAATTCGATCATTTCGACCTCTAGATGTGTGGACATGAGAAAAAATAGATTTTAATTTTTGAAAATAATGCATCTTGTAATGTATTATTTAGACATTCAATTTTCAAGTGTTCATAGATCTACCTGATCTTATTTCAATCTTTAAATTTTATAATTCAAGATGAAAATAAATTTTAAGACGATCATAAAAATTTATGATACTAAAATAATATTTTTTGACATTATTTGAAAGTGCATCTTACTTTGATTGTTTAGTGCCTCAGCTTTAGATTTTTTTTTTTCAATATCTCCCAATTTCATCCTTGACCTAGCCTAGCCAAATGACTGAAGAGAATACCCCCAATACATGGGACAAGGCTATGACGATGAGGAGCACAACCCAATTTATTAAATCTTTTTTTTTCAATATTTATTAAGACAACCCAATTTATTAAATCTTTTTCTTTCAATATTTATTAAGATGTAGATTCTTAAGACCAACCAAATAATCAAGTCCTGCACTTGTTTATATCGAACTTCTCGTGGAAGTCTCATCCTTTCCTTAAAAACAAACAAATAAAAAAGTAGTAAGTTGATGAAAGTGACAAATTCGGTGTTCCCTCGTGTGTATGTAATATTCACACATAAAAACGGCATTATTAAACATTAATACATGAATCCTTGATCGATTCCATATATTAATGAAAAGATTGCACATTTGTTTGATTTGATTCCCTTTCCAAAACGGACACCTCCGACAGGCTGTAACATTGTTTCCTACTAATTCTTCTTTCGGTGGAGAGGAAAACAGCAAACAGACTCTCCTCCTTGTTCACGCCTTCTGGTTTTTTTCTGGTTTAGAGAGAGAGAGAGAAATGGTTTTTTTTGAGAGAGAAAGTGGGGGAATTGGGCTTTGTTGAATAACTAAAGAGAAAGGATGGTTTTTTGTTAAGAGAAAGTGGGTGGTGGAATTGGGTTTTGTTGAATAACTTAGAGAATTAAGATACAATTCATTATTTTATTCATGGGGAAGAGGGAGATTGGAGTTGTGTTTGGTTTGATTTTGTTGCAGGGAGTAGTGCAAGGATATGGAACGGAGGATGGATCAGAGGAGTGGGGCTACGTTCAAGTTCGTCCAAGTATTCAGTTTCATTTCTTTTTTTGTTTTATTTTTTCTATGTTTCTTTTCCATTTCAGTTTTTTGTTTTACGGATAATGAATGCCTTCCAACTTTTTATCTTTTTTTGTTGTTTTCTCTTTTTCTTGTAATTTTTATGGAAAAAAAAAGAGGCCCACCTTTTCTGGTGGTTGTATCACAGTCCTCAGAGAATCCTGAACTCCTCTGATCCATGGCCAACCATCCTCTGGCTCCAAGGTGGACCTGTAAGTCTCTCTCTCTCTCTCTCTCTACAAATCTGTACCAGGCTTAGTAAATATGGTTTTCATCTTTATTAAGATGGAATTATGAAGAATAGGAATGAAATTAAATGGAATTATGAAGAACAGGAATGAAATTAATTGTTTTGTGGGGTGATGTGCAGGGGGCATCAGGAGTTGGGTTGGGCAATTTCAAAGAAATTGGTCCTCTGGATACAAGCTTACAACCAAGGAATTCAACCTGGTTACAGAAAGCAGATCTCTTATTTGTGGTAAAACCACAAAAAGTCCTATTTCAAATCAAACAATAGAATTGATTGATCAATCCATAAATAAGTTTGTAGTTAATTCAAATTATTGTTATCTGAGTTGTTGTAATCCAAAAAATAGGATATTTCAATCAATTAAATTGATTGATTACTGATTAATCCATGAATAGATGTTTTTAATCCAAAATATTGGCATTTCAGGATAGTCCGGTGGGAACTGGTTTCAGTTTTGTGGAAGAAGATGATTTATTTGTTAGGACAGATGAAGAGGCCGCCATTGATTTGGTGACCCTTCTTAAGAAGCTCTACAATAACATCACGGCATTGCAGAGTAGTCCACTCTTTGTAGTTGCAGAGTCTTATGGGGGAAAACATGCTGTTACATTGGGTTTGGCTCTGTTAAAAGCCATTGAAGCAGGGGAATTGAAGCTCAAGCTTGGAGGTTACTCTCTACATTCCATCTCTTTTGACTCTTGAGCAGACAATTGCAGTTCCGAATCTGTAGACATTCTTTTCCCGTTTTCGTTTAAGTATAGAGAAAGAGAGAGTGTTCTAAATTGTGTGTTGTATCTGATTTTAAACAGGCATTGCATTGGGGAATAGTTGGATTTCTCCTGAGGATTTCGTGGTAATCACATTGAATTATTTCTTGGAATTATGAATGCTTAACACATTTCTCAAGATTGTTGGGTTGATTGCAAAAGTGTACTGCAGCTTTCATGGGGTCCTCTGCTGCTCGATGTCTCACGCTTAGGCTACCGAGATGCAGAGAATTCGATAAGGTATACAATGAACTCCAATTTCAAGTGACCTCATCTTTCTCTGAATCTGTTCTTTCATTCATTACAGAATGGCTCTGCAAATAAAGGAGCAGATAGCAACGAGGAAGTATGCGGATGCCACAGACTCGTGGATCAACCTCGAAGGCTTCATCAGCGGTTCGAGCAATGAAGTCGTGAGTTCTTTGTGCTAAAAAGCTCTCAATTCGATCATCTCGACTTCAAGATGTATGACATGAGAACAAATATATTTCAAGTTTTAAAAATAGTACATCATGTAATGTATTATCTAGATCACCAATTTTCAAGAATTTCAGGTGTTCATATACCTGATTGATATATACTAGCTTTAATCTTTAAATTTTATAATGAAAATAGATTTTTAGGCCATCACAAAGATTTCTGATATACCCTCAGCCTTATACAAACCACACGATTTATTTATTACGGCAATTATCTGTGTTGTATAGGATTTCTACAATTTCATGGAGGACTCTCGAAATGATCCAGTAGCAGCTACAATAAGCAGCAGCATGAACAGCAGGAGTATGGTATCAGCGAGACGCGTTAGTAAATACTCGAGATACCTCACCTCCATTAAGCCTGATGCCTCTGCTGCACAAGACATTGATATGGACACTTTCATGAATCAAGTCATCCGGAAAAAACTAAAAATTATTCCCAACAGTGTCCAGTAAGTTTTCCCCTCTCGTTCGGTTTCATTCATCATTATAGCGTTTTTTTTCCAATTAATTGGGGTTGTTATTATATTAAAAGTGAACTGAGCTTAAGTATCTATATCTTTTTTGGCTACTTTCTAACCGTTTCTTTTTTGGTCTATTCCTTACCTTTTTTAATCCTTCCTTCCGCTAATAGGCCTTGCCCAAGACCAAACAGTTCCAAAGAATAATAATAATAAAAATCCATAGTTTATGCCTGCACTACACAACAGGAAATATTCATGTACTCTCTCTTCTGAAAAAGATTTTGTTTCGTACATAGTTCCAAAGAAAAAAATAACAGTCAACATTTTATGCCAGCACTAGACAAAATAAAATATGCATCTACCCCCTCTTCTGAAAAACATTTAGTTTTTACGCCCTGTTTTCCATCTGTCATCTCTATCTATATGTCCTTGTGGAAACTCGTTTGGAACTTGGTTGCAGATGGGGTGGGCAATCTGATGGGGTTTTCGTGGGGCTATACAATGACTTCATGAAACCCAGAATCCAAGAAGTAAGTACCCTCTCTCTCTAGTGTGGTTCCTTGTCTCATTGTTTATCTAACGTCCATCTCTTTTATAGATGTCAAAACTGTTACATCTACTAAATGTTAAAATAGAAGGGGAAGAAAGGAGAAAATAATTTATATGTTCTTTATAAAATAAAAATTCCAAATTTAGATCAGTTTCATCGTTAGGATTATCGAACCCTAAAATGATATTTATATTTTGCGGGTAGACAGCACAAAAATAGTGAGTTGGCCGACTCACCGAACACTTTTTCAGATTTTTTTTTTAATGTTTTGAAAAAGATTGGGTAGTGTTTCGGCCATAAATATTTATTTTTTACACTTTTTTGGATTACTTCTAAAATACCCCTAGGTGTTGGATGAATTTTGTTTAATTATTCTTTAAACATATTTTTATATTTTTTGGGACTTCTTTATCAATTTTCAACCCCATTTAGCCCAGTCGAGACCATTCTGGTGAGGGCCAATTACCCTGGTCTTGGGATTATTTGGTTTTGGCTCATGGGCAGGTTACTCGTATCCGGCTCATGGCCGGGTTTCGAGGCAGCCGTACAATTGAACACTGGGATGTGGAACATTATGGTGTGGATCTAACTATAATGAATTATAGTTATTCATCGAGACTTATTCAAAATGAATTATAAATTGAAGGAATATTTAATGACTTATAAATTGAAAGAATATTTAGTTGACTAAAATAGTGAAAGAGTTTGGATCTACCTCCCGCTTAGTTTACTTCCTCCACAGTAATTAAAGAGAGAAAAAGTTTATATAAGGATGCAACCTTATAATGTAGAACTACTGCTTAGTTTACTTTCTCCAAAGTAATTAAAGAATGGAAAGTGTTTATATAAGGATGCAACCTATAGAACTATGGATGCCCCTCAAAAATCCACCGGAAAAGGTAGTTTTAATGTTGTAAAACCCTTTGATTGATCATCTCAATATCGAGATATATGAATGTGAAAAATAAAAGGATTTGAAGTCTCAGAAATAGTGTGTTTTACAATATATTATCTACACCGTCTATTTTCAAGTTTTTCATATGTTTATAGATCTACTTGATTTTAACCATTTTTTAAATTTAAAATTTTATAATTAGATATAAAAATAGATTTTGAAATAATCCCAAAAGTATTTTACATCAAAATTATATATATGATAAAATTTGAAGGTGCACCTTACGGATACATCCGTACGCCAATTGTATCCATTAAAGAATAATGGTTGTCAATTCAACCTCATCACAAGTTTCTATTTTGTTTGATGATGTAAACATACAAAAGAAAGGGAGTGTATATATTCTTTTGGCTTTTCTTATTGTATAGTTTCTTAGCAAACATTTTTACTACCATTTATTTATTGTATATTTTCTTAGAAAAAGTTTGATAGATTAATTAAATGAAGATTTTCCCAGGAAACATTCCAAGAAACAAATAAAGACGTTTTAAATGAAAATGTAGAGACAACAGATGACGAGTTTCTAAAATCTTTTGAGTAAAGTGTGTTTGATTGGTTGCTTTGCTTTGGCGTGCAGGTTGACGAGCTTTTAACCAAGGGCATAAATGTGACTATTTATAATGGGCAGGTAAGGGAATCCTTGTGCTCCTTTGCAAACTCATCCCTTTTTCAACAACCATTTGGGATTCTTCTTTTCTTTTCGTTTCTTTTCTTTTTCTTTTTATTTTTTTTATTTTTTTATTTTTTTATTTTCTTAGGTCTTTCAAACATTATGGAAAAGATTTATGTGCACTTTGTTTAGAGATATCATTTCTCAAGAGACTCAAAGTCTCAAAATGTTTTTTTGGCGGTATAAGGTTTCAAACTAATATATCTTTCAACCCATTAGACTCAAATAAGCTGGTTCGGCTATGCATTTTTTTACCTAAACAAAATATTAAATGACATATCTTTCATTTTTATCTAAACACTCCCCTTTAAAAATCTACACATCTCTCTCATAAATCTCTCTCTAAAACAAAAACCTCTCTCGCTCACTTTTTCACTCCCTATCCTATCTCTCACATAGAGTCTTCTATTTACTCTCTCTCTCCTGGGCTCTGAGTTTCTCTCATCTTTGTCAGATTAGCTCTTTATTCACTCGCTGTAGCTTTCCTCTTCATTTCTTTAGTTTTTGGTTTCTCTCTCTAAATCATCCGGTTATGTTATTCTCTCTCCTAAACAGTGGTAGGAAAGTCTTGATTTCATAATCAGGCAGTTTCAGATAAACAAATGAACGGCTCTGGACTTTGATTGAGAAATTTATCTGTAGTTTCCAAACACCTTTCGGCTGAAAAATAGATAACCAAATCGGCTAATTTTTTAATAAACATGGTGTGTGGAGAAATTTTCCCTTAATATAGTATAAGAAAGAATTACATTGGTACCATAAGTAGAAAGGCCTATTTTGTGGAGGTCCATATTTATGAGAATTTTATACAGCGGTCCACCTGTAACATCTTTTTTTATCTTTTCCAATAATATTCATGATTCTGATGTTCCAAACATTGGACTCATACTACCTTTTTATTTTACTGTTGTAAATTTTTTGAATTGTAGGGCTATTTGTCTACTATGAGGAAAATTTGGGATCTTTGATGATTCCAATATCGAATTGCCGTAAAGTTGGGCACCTTGATGTCAGTAACATCGGACAACCCTATAATAGTTGTGGTCGATCCAATGTTCGAGACATCGGACATACTCATTAATCCTTCAATTCGGCTCTAATGAAATTACGGTATCTGTAGTATCGGACCACATTTTATAGGTATGATGTTTGCAATATCGAACAGGTCCAACGAAAGACCACATGCTAAGAGGGTGATATAATGTTACAAACATTAGAATGACGAGCAAAAAGAAGGGATAATACCTATTGCAGGGTAGTCCGATGTTACATACATTAAACTGCCCAACTATATGTCAATCTAAAGTCGGAGTTAGTGGACCTAACAGAAATTGTCCATATGCAAGCCCTAAACTTCAAAAAAATAAAAATAAATATTGATATGAAGTTTGGAACATCAGATCCAGGGGTAGTATTGAAAACAATATAAAAGAGCTTGCGAGGTGGACTTTTACATAAAATTTGCATAAAATATGGACCTATGTGTAATGCCCTTTTTTATTTAGAGCAATGATCCAATGCAACGGTTGTATCATAGTATAATGCAACGACACTTCTAGAAAATTATGTTTGTGGTATTTGTATGACTCCAAATTTTGCACACACTCTTCATCCCAATAAATTAATCTCAAAAAAAAAAAAGTTCAAGTTGAACTCTAAATATGGTCAAAATGAGTCCCCTCCAAAAATGAATCTAGACCATTCATTTTGTGAATTTCAAGATCATAGCCTTTATAAACTCAAAATCAATTTTTTTTTTTTTAACATTATTCGTCTAATGATAATAAAGCCATTCAAAAAAAATTAGAAATGAAAAAATCCTTTTAAGGCCTAGATTTAAGCATCTCACCAAAATGAATGGCCATTGTTAATTGGGCTAAAAAAATATTTTTTAGGTTGTGTTTTCAATTTTTTCTTTTTTTGTGATTGCTCATTAGAATGAAAAGATTGTATATTTCAAAATTTGGATCAAACAAATGGCCATAAGATGGTTTTTTAAGGTTGTTACATTATATTACTATACAACGGTTGCATGAAATCATTGCTCTTTTATTTATGGGTCAAAGGTGATTTTTCATATTCGATTTTGAAAGAAATTACATAAGGTTGTAAATCTTATACTGTAGAAATAAAAAGTCCCCCCTATTATTCCGATGACGAAAACCCCTACGGTTGATCTTCTCAACCTCAAGATATATAGAAATCAAAAAAAAAAAAAAGGATTTCAAATTTTAAAATAAGAATGTCCTTGTAACAAATTATCTAAGACCGTTTATTCTCAATTTTTCAAATGTTTATAGATGTATTCGATCGATATTATTTTTTGAGCTTTAAATTTTGGGAAAGGTTTTTATACTTTCCCTACAACATAGAAGATCTATGCTTCTCCTACCATCCAGCTGTCCAATTTTGATCAAGCAAGTCACTGACTGTTTGATCTTAGATCAGACATCTAAAAGTATTATATTTATATTTATTTTTATACAAATTGTGTGAATATTAAACTTGGTACATGTCATCTTCTCATTGGGGTGCACCTATAAAAAATATTAAAAATAATTTTTCGATAAAATACAATGATCAAAATACCCCTTGAATCTTTCAGGGGTATTTTGGTAATTTTATTTTATTGAAAATATTTTTTTTATATTTTTCATTAGTGCGAGTTTAATAGAGAAAACTCCAAAGTTTGGTGTCAAAATAATTTATAGAAAAAAATAAAAAAATAATAATGTAGAATCGTGAGATTGTGATTGGGGCAATCTCAGCCCACCATTTAAAATGGATAGTTGGATAAGGAGAAATATATAAATTTTATGTTGTAGGGAAAACATACAAAGCTTGTCCTTAAATTTTATAAGTTAGTCTGAAAATAGGTTATAGGGCCATCTTTAGGATTTCATTCACTGAAAGTGCATCTTTTAGCAAGCTTTAGAGGTGCATCCTATTTTGATTGTTTGAGGATGACACCATACATGAACCACACAATTTCATTGTTATTTTTTATTTTTAACTATATTGTGTTTTTCTTAAATTTTAACTAATATTTTCCATGACTAAAATCTTGGAGTTTCCAATTTATTCTAAACATAATATGATTGTATTTTTAAAATTTTAAAGTAAAAAAATAAAGAAACTTAATTTAAAATAAGATATTTGAAATTTTAGGAAAGGATTCCTGCTATGTCATATTTTTAGTTACACTTATTTATTTACTTATGTTAAGTAATTTATGTCATTAATACAATAATTGAATATATCAAATAGTATAAAAAAAATTATTTAATAAATCTGTTAATAAAATTTAAGGTTTTAAACTAGGATTATTTGTTCTTTTAACAATTCAGTAATGTGAGTTTAAAATCAGAGATTCTTATTATTTTCGTGAATTTTTTTTAATATCCCTTAGTGGGACATCAAACTCGGGGAAACTTGGTCTCGTCAAGGAACTCAGTCGAGTATTCAGAACTCGGGCTGAGTAGTCAAAAGGAGTAACTCGGCCGGAGTAGGACCGAGTATTATATCATAATTTAAAAAAAAAAAAAAAAAATGCAAAATAATCCAAAAAATAGAACCGGTTCTAGGATCTGGGTTTTAAAATAATATCTAAAATAATGATTGAGATTATTCTAGGTCATGCTAGAGGACAACAAGAAGTAATACCCTTCTAGGGAATAATTATCATAATGAATATATACATTTTCTCAATCTGGAGATTGATTTATTATTTAGGAAATCTTTGCACCTAACATCGCCCCTAGTATGGAATATGTGTGACCCCAGACCACTGTTGAAAAAATTGGGGCGATCTAACCACTAACCGCCCGATTAGATCAGAACTGGGCGGTTTCGATTTTGGGCAGTTTTGATGATCAACCAGTATTTAAAAAAAATTAAAAATATATATATAAATTCTCAAAAATAAGGAATTTGATTTATAATTAATTTTTAATATTTTTTACATTATGGTAAAGATTAAAAATTGTTTTGCTTATTAATACTCACTTTTATATTTTCTTATCTTTTTCAAAAAAAATTTAAAATACCCCTAGGCACAAATCGATTCGTTAAAATCCTGTTTTTCATTAATTTTGAACTTTATTTGAATGTGTTATTTTTTAATCATTCTTTATATGCTTTTCATATTTTAATAGGATTTTTTGTTTTTTGTTTTTTTTTCAACACTTTTTTGACCGCCTGGGACTTGCCCAGTTAGAGCAGTTGAATCAGCCGGTTTACTAGTTAGGCCGGTTAAACTATTTCTGGGCCAATGTCCAGTTAACCATTCCAGTTCGATTTTGCGAACACTGCCTCAAACCATCTGATATAAAAGGTGGCAGAGATTGCTTTAATCATAGTGTCACGCGCAATATTGTTTTATTTTTAATTTTTTTCTACAAAATCAGTTTTAATAAAATTTGGGATGTGCCTTTACCTTTTATATATATATATATATATATATATATGACCAAACTACCACTACATACTGTAATGTATTTTGGTCATTTTATTAAAAATATTGTTTTTATCAAGTGCACCTCTATGAGATGTTTGCATGCACCAAAGTTTACTTCAAAATGATAATAAAATAAAGGGAAAATGACCTCTACCCCTTCCTCGAAATTTCCATCCCTATTAGCCATTTGGGTTCACCAAAATCCCTTATACTCTCTTAAGTTTAAAATTTTGGGACTCTTAACCCCTTAATTATGCTTTTGTTTGTTCTTTTACAAAATTGATATTTTAATTTTACAAAATGCCAAACCCTTTCATTAGTGAACTTCCTTTCCTTTCTCTTGTGTTGCCTAAAACCAATCTTACCTTAGTAGATACCACTCTATAAATGTAGACATGAATAAAATTGTTTTTTTAATATTATGACCTATTTTACAATTGTATCAATATCTTTTGAACTTGGAAAATGATTAATCAAGATCTTTATTACTATTGTTAATGGATTATTATTATTATTATTTATTTATTCATTTAATTTAAGAAACTTCTCGAAATACCTATAAGGGATGAATTATTTAAGAATTAATATATTGTTGTTGTTATTATTGTTATTATTATAATTATTATAATAATAAATAATAATAATAATATAATAATAATAATAATAGTAATAATAATAATAATTATCATCATCATCAATACAATTTGTTTATGAAGTCAAAAAAAAGAAATGTATAGTTTTGGTATTTTTGTGATTAAATTTGTAAAAAGAACAAAACAAAACATAATTAAGGGTTAATAGTCTCAAAGTTTTACACTTGAGGGGGTACAAGGAATTTTGGTGATCCCAAAAAGTTAATAAGGATGAAAATTTCGGAGAGAGAGATAAAGGTCATTTTTCCTAAAATAAAATAAAATAAAATATTTTGAGCTGTCTGCTTGAAAATTGATGCTCTCGTAAGCTAACTTATAATGTTATGAACAAAGAAATCAAATGCGTATTTAGATCACATGACAGGGAATAGAGTATGTTTTGTATGCATTTTTATTTATATAAGGATTTTTTTATTCATTTTTAGGTCAATATTATATACACTAGAAAGTAATTTTGCTCACTATTATAAGAGCTCTACGTGGATAACCGGGAATTACTGTTTTTGGAAGAAAGAAGTTTGCCAGCACCCACTCTATGCCCTTTTGCTGGAAAATAACTAAACTTTGTTAGTTGAAAGGGGAAAAAATAAACAGTTAGAAAGAATTGGATGAATGAATTCACACTTTAATTCCCATAGTTTTTTGCATTTTTTTGTTATGTGAGATTTACCCCTATTTACTCCTTTAATAGAACACAACGGCATACTTTTGAATTCACATAGCTGATCCCAAATAGTTTTTATGTTTTTATATGGCAGGTGGATCTTATATGTTCAACCAAAGGAGTACAAGCATGGATCCAGAAACTCAAGTAAGGACTAGTACCTAACCCTTCCCATCATAAATGGCTCGATAAACTATGGAGGAAAATTGTTTAATGCGGCAGGGTCTGCATTTCTACATTTGTGGTCCCCGAAGTATCAAGCATCAATCTTAAAGATGGATGCAAATAGGTGGTCCATTTAAAACCAATTCAAACTATCAGTTCAAATATTTTCTTAATAGAATTATTATTTTAATTTTCAAAATTTAATTATATATTCATATTCATGATCTCCATGTTAGAGATTACATGTCCTAACAAATTGAGTCCAAAAATCCATCTCAAAAATAATTTTTTAAGAGGTGACTCATTTCTACATAGACTCGTAGAAACCGTATCCAACTATGAAAAGTCGTCAAAATGACAATTGAAAAAACGGAAAAAAAGTTGTGTTCTAATGGGAGGAAAATGTAAACTCGCTCTCACTCTGGCAAAACCTTATGTAGAAGTATATGTTGACTCTTCATTTTGGGCTATTAATCTACTTATCTTTGGAACTTGAAGCAGATTTAGAAGAATGAGAAATTCAAATGTCAACCTCAAATAATCTAAAAGAACTCCTACTTCAAGAGTGAACGTACTTTGGATGGCCACATTGGGGTATTCAAGAACACAAACATCATT